ATTATTGAGACTAAATCTTGAACCCTGAAATTCTTGGTTCACTTTGTGTTTAAATTAACTTTAAAAAACATGTTTATTTAATGCATCAGTCCTGTGATTTTTTTGCCATATGATGTACTGTGTGACCGAACTCTACCCTTAAAAGTCAAAAATAAAAACCAATATTGTCCAAAGAAATATTTATATTTATATTTAAAAAAATAAAATCATGAATGAAAAAAAAAAATAATAATAAAATTTTACAAATTAAATCCTCAAAGTAATATAACAGTAATAATAATTTAAAACTTTGTTTTCATTTCATTTTTTTTTCAACAAATCAACTAGTTAATATGCCTTTTTCTTCTCATCAATTGAAATCCCACCAGGACCCATGCTTACTAATAATAACAACCCACCAACAATACTAAGAGTTTGAAAGAAATCATATTTCAAGAAATCACGTTGTGGATCAGCATGATGAACTGACCAAAAATTATTGATCAATACATTAAAAACAGAAAGAAATAGTACTAAAAAAGTGGCAGACCATTTAGCCTTGAAACCAACTACCACCATGACACAAGCAATAAACCCAATTATAGAAACTGTGAATCTTGTAATTGACCATTCACCATGAAATGTAAAACCAATAAATAAAAAGATCAAAAGAACACGTCCAGCCAACTGAAAATAAGTTTTACGATCACGCTCTGATAATTGTGGAAGATCAGCAAATACAGATTTTTTTTTTGAGAAAGCATCAGATAATACCATCAATAGACCACCAGTTACTGAAAGACTTCTTAAAAAAAAATTTAATTCAAAAAAAACTAGTTGGGTTTGGGAATTAATGGAAAGTACTGAAATTGAAGAAGAAGGATCAATAATCAAGGCAGCAATTTGTAAAATAAATGTTTCAAAGACTTCTGAAATTAAATATTGTAATATAATTGTTCATGGTGGTAGTGATTCATCAACTTCAAATTTTATAAATCATTTAACATCAGTTCATGGACTTACTAAGGATAATTATGAAACCAAATTAAATTCTAAGGTAATTATTTATTTATATTAATTTAAATATTTTTATTTTTATTTAAATTCTTGTATTTTTTGTCTTATTATTATTAGGAAATTCCAAAAAACCAATCGATTGATCATATATTTAAAAAAGTTCAACATCATCCAAACCATTAAAAAAAGTTGGATAGGGCTTTGGCACTCTTTATAATTGAAGACTTACAACCTTTGCACATTTTAAAATCACCTGCATTTATTAAATTTTTAAATTTATTAGACTCATCATTTATAGTTCCTAAATCAAATACAATCAAATCCTTAATACATACTGCATACACCAAATCTTTTAATTACTTGGTTGAACAATTATCATCAATTGAATATGTTGGTTTAACATGTGATTTATGGACAGCTAGGAGTAGACTTGGTTATTTGGGGGTTACCTGTTCTTATATAGATGAAGGATTTGACCTCCATGAAAATTTGTTAACTTTAATGTATCTTCCATCTACTCATACCTCTCCTTTGATTGCACAAGCACTAAATGATATAATTATTAGTTGGAGAATTGATAAAAAGGTTATGTCTATCACCACAGACAATGGGCCTAATATGGTTGCAGCATTTAAAGTAAGTTATTTAATGACTTAAATTTAATAAAAAAAATTTCTTCTGAATTAGAACTCATAATTTATTTAATTATTAACAATGACTACTTGAATTTAAATTAGCATATGTATAATATTAATAGAACTTCATGTAGTGCACATACTCTTCAATTGGTTATTGGAAAATTCCTTGTGGTTTGTGATGTATTTTTAGCAAGAGCAAAAAAGGCTTATAAATTTTTTCCTTAGTCCAAAACAAACTGAACTCCTGGAGAATGCACAAAAGGAAGTTGCTGCTAATGATGATGATGATGATGTAAATATAATTTTACTAATTTAATACAGTGAACCCTCCCTAAGTGCACCCTCCCTAAATGCATGCACTATGTATACCCTCCATAAATGCACAGCCCATCTCATCCCCAAGCTTATAGAGAGCTTATAAAATCACCCTCCATAAATGCACACTCACAAGAAATAGCACTATGTTCCCAAGGGGGTGCACTTATAGAGGGTTCACTGTAATTTTATTTGAGATAAATTAATATTTATTAAAGTTAATATCTATCACATTACAATCCTATATAGATAGCTAAAACTAATGATAAATACTTGCATGCTATTGGAGATGTACCAACAAGATGGAGTAGTTCTTTTTAGCTTGGGAGCAGATTTATTTATTAAAAGATGCTATATATGCAGCATTAGATATTTTATTCAAAAACAGAAAAAATAATCTTCAAATTAGAAAAGATTATAATCGTCTTAATAAAATACTTCTTGAAGAAGATGAGTGGGATTTTATGCTGGAAATGATTAACATATTAGGACCATTTTACAAATCAACACTAATATTGGGAGCTAGCAATTATGTAACAATTAGTTTGATGTATCCTGTGGTTGAAGCTTTAAAAGAAAAATTCAAAGTAGAGACAAATTACGATGAATATTGTGATGAACCAATTCTTGAATCATCAGAAACTGTATTTGATGAATAGAGGTTGAAGAAGACAATGATGATGATAATAACAGTAATGGTAATAGCAGTAAAGATAAATCAAAAAAGAAAAAAATCAATATCAATAAACCACAAGACATGTATAGGTTAGCAGATCAAGTTAGATACAACCTACATAAATATTTAAATTTTTATTGGCCTAATCTACCTGTAGAAGAATTAGTTGCATGTGTTTTAGACCCAAGGGTTAAGAAGCTAAATTTTATAACAAGTCAAAAAAGAGAAGAGGTTTTTGATATATTAAAGAAAATATATTTAGAAATGTGTCCTGAACAATCACCTACTGCAGATACTAATCAATCCACCACAGATTCTAGAATAAAGTCTAAAAAAGTTTATCAACTTTCTTTAATGAAAACTATTTATGGTAAAACAAAAGAAAAAAATTTAAATGAAGTATGTATAAATAAATTCATTCAATTCATTAATAGTTCATTCTTTAAATTAAAATTAAATTATTTAATATAAATTATTTAGTTATCATCCTATTTCATGTTAGATGAATTAAAATGGGATCAAGATCCATTTATCTGGTGGAAAAACCAAAAAAATAATTTCCCCACATTAGCTAAAATTGCAAAAAAAATATTTATGTGTATCTGCTACTTCTACACCAAGTGAACGATTGTTCAGTGATGCTGGCAATACATTGACAGCTAAAAGAACAAAACTCAATCCAATTCTTTTTGAACGAATAGTTTTTTTAAAAAAAAACATGGTTGATGTAGAAAAATTCTTTGATTAATAAATATATAAAATTATCTTTGATTAATAAATGTATTTATTGTTATAAAAATTTTGGATGAATAATAATTTTTTTATGTAAGTATTAATTAAAAATCTGTTATACCAAGATTTAACTAGTAAATTCATTATTATTACTATTATATTGATTGATGGATATTTGATGGATATTTGGGTATCCAGTATCAAAACTGGCAAACAGACCAAATATTCAGATATCAAAGTTATTTGACAATTGAGTATTCGGATGTCAAAATTATTTGACGATTGAGTATTTGGATATCAAAATTTTGTGAAAGGATGATCAGTGAATATCTGAATATCTGACAGATACTACCACTAGTGTCCATGAATACAAACCCTAATAATCATGGTGAATGTAGTGAATGTTCCAGATGATTTTAGTGAATTTTCTATTGGAATTTGTCCAGCCTAGGGTTAATGTCCACATTAGGTGCATTGTCATCATCAAAAGCTTTAAAAGTAAACCAAGGGGAAAAAAGAGCAACTTAAACCTACACTTGGTTGGAGTTCAAAGAATTGGAACAAAAAACATATATTGGGTTTTGTATTAGGAAAATCAAGCTTCCAGACAAAAAATCTATTTTAGTAACAACCTTATAAATTTGGTTACACATATGTTTTTAATATATAAAGAAAATATTCCAAGCCTTGTATCTCATTTTTCTATTATGCAAACAGGGTCCAATTTTTTCACCAACTGTAAATCCTTTATTAGAAATTATTATTGAGTAAAAGATGAAAAAAAAAAATAGCTGGAAGCTTGATTTTCTTAGTACAGACCCCAATATGTATTGTAAATTTTGTAGAACTTTTGGATATAAAAATGTCTTTGCAATGGGTTTGTTGAGATATAGAAAAGAAGCCATAGACTCTCATGAAAAAATTCAAGAACACCAAAATGCTTGTTTTGTAAACAATTATGACAACAACAACAAAAAACAAACCATTAAACAACTAAAATGTGTGTACTTAATATCAAAAAATCATCTCCAACCAGATTTATACAAATATTTATTAAATATAATATCTATCATCTTTTAATAATTCACCAACAGCAATCTCTATCTTGCTTAAGGGGTGGAGTGATCACTAAAGACTAGTGCCGTAAATTATGATGATGGTAGTAATTGTATTTACGGCATATAAAAAGTGGTCACAATTACCTTTGCAACCACTTTTGCAACCATACTTTTTCCTTTTTTGGATTACGGCACTAGTCTTTAATTCATTAATTCATTCACCTAAGCTCAAGATCCTGTAAAAAAGCTTGGAAATATCAAATGTTTATATGTGATTTGTAAAACATAAAAATAAGAGAAGTATTACTATTACTTTATTATTGATTTGTCAATTGTATATAAAAGTACTTATTAATTATTCTGAAATAGTAAAATATAGATCATGGAAAAAGTAAAAATATCATTAAACTTGGACAACTACAATGCTTGGCTGTTTCTGCTAAAGGGTATAAATATAAATAATTATCAACAGATCAATGTAATATATCTATTATATCTGTTTTCTAATGACAAATTGTAATAACAAATGGTCACATATCTGAATAAATTATATTTGTTGCTATATTAAATGTATTAAAAGTGTTGAATGTTAAATCATGGTTGTGCCGTATTTTTGTTTCAATGATTGACACATTTTGCCATCCATTTCTATATGATATACTGTGTAACAGAACTCTACCCTTAAACGGTCAGAGTATTCTTTAATGGTAACACAAAATCACGATATCGCATTCTTATTGGTCAATTTAACGATCAGCAAAGTAAAAAATAATCAATCAACCAGCTTTTAGAGAAAGTTATTATTATACAAAACCACAAGTACAACATCCGAATTTTTTTACAGACCAATCGGCTATATCTCAGAGATCATTTTCATATAAGGAAGTGATATGCTTAGAGAAAATTTTATATATCAGAAAAATTTTATCAGCTATCAATAGCTGATTAACTGTTTAAGGGATAAAATCGTCATATTAATGTGAACCTCGAGGTATATTTTTTCTGTTTAGTTAATTATTTATGAAGATTAATTAAAATGTATTAATGAGTGGTCCTTGTAGTGGCATTTTTTCAGTTTGAGTTTCCTTTTTTGGGTTTAAATTTAATACACTATTAACCCGAATTATAGTGTTGCAGTCACCTTCAAGTCGTATTGTTGATGGATGATATCTTTGTGATCATTCTATGAGTGGGACCATTGATAATTATTGCCCATAAAAAAAAAATCAAAGAATTGTGAATTTAATGATAATGATAAAATTTCAAATAAATTTTTATAATTGCCGCACAAAATTGATATTTTTGATGCATAACTAAAAAAATTTATGTGCGTAATCCTTGCCCAAATCATCATAATAATAAAATAAAATAAGATTAATATCTTTTATTTATCACAATCTTTTCTTATTAAGAAAAACATTAGATGTTGTTGGTGCTCATATTATTTTTCTATAGTTTAAAAAGTTTTTTTTGTAGAAAATTTGTCTTCACCACCATTAAAAACAAAAAATAGACAGACAAAAGCATAATTAGATGTGGACTTGTAACCATAGCTTGAATGCAATGTGATTTTGGTTTTTTCATGTAGCTTACATATTTGTAAAAATCAAAAAACCAGTGTGATGGCACCTTTTGATTGGCTAATTTAATTTTCATTGCAAATTCATAAAAATGGACATTATCAAATTTTTGTAAGATGCAAAATTAAATATAAGCAAATAGCTTAGGATAAGGCTTATACAGCAGAAATATATATTTGAATAAAATTTACAAATAAAATAATGATAATCATTCAAATAGGACAAAAAATTTCTAATATTAAAAAATAGATACAATATTGTTTATCATTGAAACCAGTGTTACCATTCTACATTATAACTCAAAACCTAAAAAAATTACATACATATACATTAATTAGAGATAAATAATATAATTGTAATATAATTGGTTACCTTACCTTACTGAAGATATAATTTTTTTCATTTTTTAGACACATATCAGTTTTTTCATCAGAGAAATTGTTTACATAATAATAACCTAAAATAATTTGGAAGTAAAATTAGTTTAAAAATAATAATTAAATGATGATTAAAGATTAAAAAACTTTACAAATCCATGAAAGTTTATTAAATCTCCCACGATAAGTTGATTCTAGTTTAAATATTAAATAAAAGGTGAATTTAGGTAATTCATCATCTCTTGCAGATATTTTCAACACACTATTATTATCAGTAAGTTCCCATTGTCCGCACATGAGATTTTTAGATTGATAATTTGTATCAAAAAATTTTACAACATATTTTGGTTCATTTGATGTTTGTAATGCAATACATGTACCATCAGAATAAAAACGTAAAAGACGGTAATAGCTCACAACATGAATAGGTTGAAACCAGGTATTTTCTATAGAACCACACCTAATTTAAAAAAAAAATTTTTTCAGGAGAAATTAAAAAGTTGAATAATTTAAATAAATACTATGATATTTGAAGTTCTCATACCTTAAATAATTACATTTAGATATGTAAACACCATCTAATCTTATACGAGGTCTTATTATTTTGGTTAAAGAAAAGGAAATGAAATGAAATGAGATGAAATAAGAATTGTTTTTAATTATACATAATTATCTGTAATATACAGAATATAGCATATATATATGTATGTATATTATACTCTATTAGTAGTCATACCTTTCAATATACATTTTCATCCAATCATTATTGTATAATTTCACAATATGTTTTTCTAACCAAATAATAGACATTTGAGTAGACATGCTTCTGTCTCTATATGCCTTTTCACATAAGAACCGCCATAAAGAAGTTTCTAATGATATTAAAAGAAATTTCTTACAAACTAAAGCAAAACGACTAAGAGAAGTCACATCTCCTTGACATATTAGTTGATGTAATATATATGTTATTGTTTCATTAGGGAGTTTTGCAATGAGTACAGGTCTATCTTTGTCCAATGATGACAATTTAATAGTTGAGTTTTGAAATGAATTTATCAAATCATTAATTTTAATTTTTTCATTATTAATACTTTGTAAGAATGTTGGTGATGTTGAAGATGACTTAACATCAATACCATTTACACCGAATTTATCTTTTCTGTCAATAACATTATTGAGAATTTGAAATTCTTCAGAATGTTTATTAAAAGTTTTTGAAGAATCCTCACCAGATGACTTTTTATCAACATTAAGAAAATTTCTATATGAGTGATCAACACCAGGATCTAATTTCAACGCTTTACGATAATTATTTAAAGCTTTCAAGAATAAATGTGTGTATGTGAATATATGCATGTATGTAACATGTGTCTATAAGTATAAATGAATTCTAAATTTTCTCTAACCTTTGTTTAAATTTCCTTCACGTTCTTTTGTTACTGCTTTTATATAAAATTCTAATGCAATTTTTTTATCTTTGTCAGATTTGTAATAATGATTTTTAGAAATGTTAACATTTGAAGTTTCAGACTTCTTTGTCTCATTTAAATTTTCCAATGACTTTAATACTGTTTTACATGGTTTGCTTACATTGTCCTCATAATTAATAATGTCAGTTGAAGTACTAATTACATTACTATTGCGACTACTAGTTGTAACATTTGTTTTTGTCATTGTTATATGTTGAGGTTTTTGTTGTGAAATTTCAGCTTTCCATTTTCTCCTAAATTCCTCAAGTTCATCATTCGTTTTAAGATTATTGCTTGAGTTTATGCTGGAATCTTTCATTTTTATATCAATAAAATATGTCAAAATAAATGCAAAAGGAACAAAAATGTTGCCTTTCTTTAAAAAGGTATAGATCACCCAAAAAAAATTAATTTTTTATTTGAGGCTTGTCAGACCAATTTTGATTCCACCGATTTAAAAAAAGTTTTTCCATGAATAACTATTACTACTTACTATATATATGGGGCAAGTAAGCATGACGCCACAAGCGGAGCATAGCGGGCTTTCTCTGTGATTGGCTGGCGCATAACGAAATTGATTGGATGATTGATTATTACGCCGATCATTACTATTAATCAATTTTTATTGACAGTATTTATATGCACTAAATTAAATGAATACCCGACATTTTTTCAATAAAAACTGAAATTTCGATGATTGAAAAGTTTTTATGTTGAAAATTTGATGGAAAACAACGACTCCAAAAAAATGTCAGGTAAATATCATCAACAATAAATTTTTCTCACTACTAAATTTTATAGATACATTGGAATCGTAACATCAATGCCTCACAATACTCTTTTGTATATTCAAGAAACTGGTGGATTGATCTCACACAACAATTCAAAAAGAAATTTCCAGCTTGGCCAGGTTGTTTTGCAACTATAACATGGGTTAAGGCCGTAATTTGTAAAAAATTAGTTTCTATTTACGTCTAACATGATATAATTAATAAATATATGCCATCAAAAATTACAAATATTATTTTTTTAAAAAAAAATAAACTGTTATAGATCTTACTAAATTATCACTAAATTTAAAATGTCTATATACAAATAATAATAATAATAGTAGTAATAATAAAAATAAAAATAAAAATAATAATAATAATAATAAAAATAATAATAATTAAATTAAAAGGATCAAAAGAGTTGGGATGATTAATTGCAAATGTAATTCTATATTAATATTATTGAAATCATTAAAAATAACAATATATTAATAATCATAATACTAATATAAAAAAAGCGAATAAATCGAATAAATTATTTTAAGTAAATAGGTAGAAGCGCGTGGTTTAAAATAATACAATTTTAAGAATCATATACCATAATTTTGCATGCTTTTTCGAGATGAATAAATTGAACTATTTAATAAATGCATATAAAAAATAAGTTAATGTGAATAATAATAATCATTATTATTATTGGAAAAACTTACATTTTTGAATTGTTGAAATTAGATGGATCTTCCAGAAAAGCATTTTCAAGTTCAGATTCAGTTAGAGAGTCTTTTATGAGAATAATTAAAATTTAATTTTCTTTTTATAGTAAATGATAAATGATAACAGTAATAGCATTATCATTAAAAAAATAATATAGAATACCTAATGAAAAAGATGAATTAGCTGAATCGTGAGCACTGGTTGATTCACTTGTTGATGGATTCTTTATAGCTGGCTGAAGACCTTTAAAGTGAACGAACAAATGAATGATTAATTTTCTTTGATATTGTTTGCAAAAAAATTCAATGAGAGATAAAATTTTCACCAGTTTTTTACCCAAATTCAATGCTTTATTAGGTTGTTCGGAATTATTTAAAGATTCAATTGTTGGAGTTCTAAGATCCATTAAATCACTGGATCGTGCGATATTACTATCGTCTCTTAAAATTTGTGAGTAATGTAGGCTTGAAGGTAAAGGTAAAGGTAAGAAAGCTGGTGTTTCTTGCATTTGTAATTGTAATTTAGCCATTTTCTCTCTTATTTCTTTTACTTCATTGCCTGATTTCGTCTCGTCAACATTATAATCATTTTCTGAAGACCTATCATCATCATCATCATCGTCGTTGTTGTCGTTGTCGTCATCATCATCATCATCATCATATTCAACATTTAATTTATTTGGAATTATATTTCTCAAGTAATCTTGACTTGAAGAATTACTCGAAAAAGTTCTTGATAATGGCATTGTTAATGATGCAGCTGGAGTAGCAAATTCCGTTGCAGCAGTTGATGATTCTATTGTAGATAAAGATGTAGAAAAATTTTCTTGCTTAGATATTGTGGTTTGCACAGTTTGTTGTTTATTAGCCAGGTCTATATTTGTAATAGTTGAAACTGAAGATGAATTAGACATGGGCCTTCTAGAAATAATAGGCGAACCAATTGGTGGTGTTGATGCTTGTTGATTTTGTGTTTGTGACGATAAAGCTTTTGCTAAAAATTTAATTAATTAATTAAGGATTTGAAATAACAATAACAATAATACTACAACAATAATAATTTCTCGGCATGTATTAATAGTTATAAACCTTGGTGTGATACAGATTCATTTATTGCTTGAGCAGCAAAGGAAGTAATGGTTGATGAATTTGATCCAGTAATAGGTCTAAGACCATCATTCAAACTATTGTTACTGCTCGTTCTTATCATATCATGACCACCGCGTGTAGTAACATACTGCTCTTTACTTGCATTTGACATTGCAGATGAAGGTCTTTGATAGCCTGTTCTCATAATCGTTATCATCATCATCATTGTTATTATATTAAGTAAAAAAATATATATTGGTTCTCGAATTTCAATATTTCACAAAAATTTACCTACCATTATCATTATCAAATAAGGGAACTTTTGTTAAAGAAGCTCTACTTGAAGCTCTATTACGAGTGCCAATAGTTCCAATACTAACATTTAATGCTTTTTGCACACCACGGAGTTGCGTTTCGTATAAGAAAGCAGCATGACGTAATAAATATGGAATAGGAACATTTAAAAGGCGAGAAGCAGCATTCCCTTCATAAAATTTTTCGAGAAATTAAAAAATAATTTTTTTAAGAAAATAAAACATTTGACTGTATCTTATGAATATTATCAAATAATGATAAAATTTACCTACAATCTATACTTTGTCGTTTATTTTGTGCAAGTATTTCCCATAATTTTTGTTCCATTTCTTCTGTCCAAACAACCTATTATATAAAATTAAGTTAACTAGTAAAAAAAAGGCCTAAACAGTAAATTATTATATAATAAAAGAAATAATAACCTACGCGAGGTGGTTCAACAAAATTTAGTGGCCTTTTCCGAGGAATTTTTATTACAACATGTATAGTTTCTTCTGAAGAAGACATTTTAAAAACCAAAGTAAAAAAAATCAAAATTTTTACCCAATACGGTTTTACAAATGAATTATCAAGTTGACACGTTACACAACATTTTGTGTGAATTTTAAATAAAAAACTTGGTAAAAAAATTTATTATTATGATTATCAAATCAAGATTTATTTTTTTTAGTTTTTTTTTTTTGAATTAAAATTTCTTTCCTCCTTAATTTTTTGAATTTCTTAGAATTAAAAATTATTATAATAAAATTATTATTATTATTTATTATTATTATTACTATTAATTTTATTAAAATGTTTTATATTATTATTATTATTATTTTATTTTATTGTCATTATTATAATTAATATTGTCATTTGTATTATTGTTGCTGTCTGGATGACGCTCTTATTGTTGCTATATCATCAGCTATTTCAGATCTATGAAGTTTATCTGGTTCGCTACGTGATTTTTTTTTAAAAAAAAAGCCAGTTTAAAAATTAAAGTTAAGGATCCTTTTATATGATTTTGAAATGTTTGAAAAAAGAAATATCTAAAAAAGGATATTTAATCTATATAACTGACTAAAATTCATTACAACTGATGATGATATAGGTGGTTCTCCATCTGGCAAACGTGCCTGAACAACTGACATTATACTACGTGCCTTTTCTGTTTGATAACCTCTTTTAATTTTAGAAAGTGCATCCAATGCTGGATCATTAATTGCTTTTACCACCAAATCTATAAGACGATCCTCTGGTTCTATTTAATATTTATCAGATAAGTTAAAATTATATCTTTTTCTCGATTTATTTATATATTTTTACACATATAAAGTCTTTATTCTCACGTTTATATAAATCATATTCTTTCTTAAGTTTACTCCTTTTAAGTTCAAGTTCTTCTATCATAACTTTCCTTAGATTACGGCGATCATTCTATTTGTAAATAAATAAAATGAATTAAATAACCATAATCATAATTATGGTAAAAAAACAATAATTAGCCTACTAAAAATTCATCTCTTATTTGTTTCTCTCGTGCAGCAAACTCTATTTCTATTGCTTCTTTCTGATAATCTCTCCTAGCTTCTGCTTTTTGTGAGAGTAAAAGATGTTTTTCTTCAATTTCTTCTAACCTTTGAGCAAGCTTAGGGTGACATCCTTGCATGATAGATTTATTCTCTTCAACAATATCTGCCATTCTTGCTTCATATAAACTATTATTTCAACGTGAATATAAATATTTATTTTTATTGTTTTATTATTATTAGAATGTTATGTTTCTACACATATTTTTATATTATTATATTATTATGAAACCAATACAAACCCTTGTTTTATTGATTTGAATTGAACTGATATTTCTTCAACCTTTTGTTTTTGCTCTTTGTATATCTTTTTTGCTTCTGAATCTTCTATGTCATCAGAAAAGTTGTTTTTAACTGTTGTTGACTTGTGATTGTCTAATTGTTTAAAACATTTCGAAACAAAGGTATGTAAATAAACTACCAATTAGTTTCTTTAAATGGTTTCTAGTTCAAAGTAAAGACTAACCCGTGGCCTCCTTTGTGGCATGGTTTCTTCGGGAAGAACGTCTCACATTCATTTTTTTGTTTTTGTTTTGTTTTCAAGAGAAAAGTTAGCAAATTTTCGTTTTTTTTTTTTCAAAAAAGTAAGAGTAAGAAAATCGGGGTAAATTTGAAAAATATCATATATAAAAAAAAGAGGGTAAATGAATTTAACAAATAATAAATCGGTATGACAATTTGAATCATATGATACTCACTCATTGCTCTCGTCTATTCCTCCCAATGCATTAGAAGTTTCGCAGGGCAAAATTAAAGCGAAGAGGTGTGATTCGTCTGAATTGCTCTAAAATAAGCACATGTGATAATTTAAAAACTTTCTGCTCTATTAACATACCTTAATCACTGTCATATTACCAGGCTTTAAATTTTATTATTATTAACAAATAAGATGAAATATTTTATATTTCTGGTAATGATATTCGTGCCTTTACTATTAATATTATTAAATTTACCCTGGGTCCTCTATTAGAAGTTTCCGGGGTCCTCCAATTCATTGTCACTTAGTCGCCGAATATTCTGCGCCACAATGACAATTTTGAGAATCTAAATTTCGAGGACCCGTGACCTCGGAGTCGATAATTGATTGAGGAATTTCCTTTAAAAAAAAGATTAATCAATGATTTTAATGATTAAAGAATTTTTACGCAGCAGCTATAAAAAAATTTATTATTATTTTTGTTTTCGATGATTTTAAAGAGTTATTACGCAACATAAAAAAAATATAAAATCAACTCTTCCAATTCGTTCATTTTTTAATATATATATATAAATCGCGTGTAACACGTCAATTTTGGGGTTAATATTAACAAGTAAACTTGCGCAACTTTGAGGCCATGGTAACGTGACAGTCGTAACTAGAAAATTACGATTTTGTTTTTTTTTTGGTTTACATTTCCATTTTTAGAGTAATTAAAGAATCTACACGGCCAATAAAAAGTTCAGTGGCAGGATCCCGGAAACTTCTAATTGAGGCCCCAGGCAAACCAAGGGTAAAAAACGTGAAAAATGTCACCATTATTGGTAAGGTAAAATTATTACGGGTACGTCAAAAGGCCCAAGACTTTTAAGGTAAAAATTTTTTATGTCCAATGAAGAATGGTAAAATTGATATATTTTTTTCAAGGTCACTATTATGTTTAGGGTAAATCAATTATATATAGTGCAGGACACCTAGTCCCACAACTTTTTATTGGTCTTGTATATCCTTTAGTATACCAGAAATGGAAATGT